TGTACAACTAAGAGCGAGGGGGGGGGGGGTGGGGGGGGGGGGGGGGTCTATTCTGTATTGGGTAGATGAAAGCAAAGGTGATAGAAGTGGTTATTATCATGCAACATTTTTCTCGAGCATTCCGTTTATCACAATTGCAAAAAAGATGAGAGGAACTAATAAGCCTTGAGAGTCACAGTTGGTTTGACTGTGTGCATTTGTGCAAACGATGAGAGAAGATTGTCGAGTGAGAGAGAGGTGGAAAGGAGATGGAGTGATAAAGTGAACACTTTCTATATTTAGACACTGAGGAAGCAATTAGATCATCCATAGTGGATTTGGGGTTTTCTGTGTTTCGGCAAAAGCAGACTCTTTATTGAACTGTGTTTGTTTGCGTGACTTGTGTTCAATCCATCAAGGATTCAGACCAAGGGCACTTTTTGTTGTTATGACTATGGTCCTGGCCCCCATTATGCAACGTTTTCCTCATTCACGTCTCAAATAGGCGAAAGGAAGCTCACAAAGCACACAGAAGAAACAAATATTATCCTTGCTCACTTGAGTTCATTTCTTCATAATGTAATACGATGACCTTGTCGAGGGAAAAGATGAAAAGTGCAGCGACACCAGAATAAGAGCTGAGGAGGGGGGCAAGAGTTACCCCCTCTTGACATCACAGAAGGGAGGGCGCACGAGGGAAAGTGGAGGATGATTTGACATTAAAATGTCATCCTTTGGAAAAAAAAACAAAATTCACAAGCACAGCATGTATTCACTGAGGCACAAATGACTAGCATGAGTATTTTTAGGCTAATATGAAATATATTTTCTAGTAAGTTGTGATGTAAGTCGTTGGAATAAAATGATTCTGTCACGTTTGCGAGATGGTAGGTGGAGAACCCCAAAAAGCAGGGAGGCAGGAGGAGTAGGGTGGACTGAGCAAGATGTATTTCACAAAAATACAAACATGAGAACGCTGGAAACAAACTAACTGATATATACAAACAAAGGCCTGAAAACTAAAGGAAACCAAAGTCGCAAAAAAAAAAAAAAAACCCAAAACCCTAAGACAGAAACAAAGCATGACAGGGGCACACAGACACACACACACAATGATCCAACAAAGACTGACAGAACCCAGGGAACAAAATACAAGCAAAGTGACGAGACAACGTGAAACACCTGGACCGGAGACAACGGGTTGAGGGAGCTGATTGGTTAAACACAAGAGACCCGGATAACGAGAACAGCGGAAGGGCACAAGGGAACAAAACCAAATGTAAACGAAACAAAAAACATAACAGATTCCTTCTTAGTCCATAGTGAGGAAATACACAAACGGTATAATACAGATGCCGAGAAATGAAAATTCTTGGTCGAAAAGTCACAATCAAAAATGAGGAACCCGAAGACGAAAACTGAAAGAGCAAAAGAAATTGTAATATCTTCAAAACCGAACAAGAATTTCTTCGGCTATGTTTTGTTCCCGCACAAATTTGACTATGTGTCGGTGAATGTGTTAAAATTCAGAGACTGATTTGCACGAGGCCACCATGATCAGACAGATTCTTTTAAAGAGATTTTTCATGTCAATCAATCCATCGAACAGTAAGGGAAATGAGGATAACAAGAGTCTGCATAAATTTAACACCACGATGAATATCAAACTGAAATTTTCGATGGAAAATACCCTGAAAGCGTCCTTTGAGTAAAGTAATATTACGCCGGCGTCTGTTTCAAATTTTAGGAGCAAAATACCGCCTACAGCCCTGCTCTTGCTCTCGTTGGCGATGCAACGTGATTGAACAAACATTCTGTTTTTCTGTTCCCCTGAAAAGTGAAGATTTTGGGGGCCGATGCCGGCGATAATGTACATGTGGAAAGTCATTTAAATGCAATAAAATACAGCAAATAAGATTATAATGACTATTATTTCTTGCCAACATTTGTATAATAAGTGTCATGCATCAAGTCATTAAAATGCAGACATCCTTTCTGGGCCGTGATGGAAAACTTTTAGACCGAAACCAAAAGTGCACTATTAAGGCAATTTTTGCTGGCTGAGTTGTCAGTTTATCCCTGTTCTATTGTACTATGAACTCAAGTGTGGTAGTAATAATGTGCACCCTTTTAACATTTTATTATGATAATGATAGAAGCCGAACAACAACAACAAAAAAAAAAACCCACTATCAACTATAGAACAAAACATCACTATTCTTCTCAAAGTTTTATGATCGAACAGTTGACAAACAAAAGTGTTAAAATTGATAAATGAGCATTCGACATTGCTTTTACCTTGAATGAAGACTCTTAATGGTGGATGAAATATGTCAAAGAGGGAAGAGGGAGGAATGGGAATCCATCATTTTCATATTTTGCTGTGAGTTATAATTTTTTTTGGATGGTGTTTTTTCCATCTTCTTCATCATAAGGCCTGCGCTCGCAACTTTCTTTGGCCCCGTTTTGGCTCAGTGAACTGCTGCAAGCAATTCCTCAACACGCACAGCACATGAGTGGCCAAGTCACACGGGTCACACGGATCAGGTTGGACCGGACCGTTTTCAACTGAATGAGAACCCGGTGGATGTATGAAAGCTGTGACAAAAGTTTGAAGGGAAAATAAAACATCACACAAAAAGCGAGTTTCCATTGTACTGTACAAGCTTTTTGTTGGACAGCAATCAAATGAAAACATTCGGTTGTACGCCAAAGAAACAAGGACTTCAGAGACGTTCTTTGGAAGAAAATTCACCTCATTTGACCACATTATTAAGTAATTACATTAAAATTAGATGTGCGGCTTTCAGTGGAGAGTTTCATTCGTATATCGGAGGGACAGGAAATGTGGTTAAAAACTTGTGTCTGTTCTGCCGCACTGTTTAATGTATTCCTGCAATGTCAGCGTATTTCCTTCCTTTTCTGTTTGATTTGCGCCCCGGAAGAAAGTCACACAAAAGCCGTTTGTGCAGTCTCAAAGAGGATTGTCTAATGATAGTTATTTCATGTTCTAGTTATGATGGGGACGAGCACTTCTCATCAAAGTGCATGAATGTGTATGAAAGATTTGTTTTTGGCTAGCGTTTCATAAGGCGGCTCCTGCTGATTAATCGCATTACGTTTAGATCACACAGTTAGTCACAATGGGGGGGCGCTGACTTCCGGGTTGTGTTGTTACTCCTAATGTTTGGTTTGACCTTCCAGAAAATGAGTACACTTTAAATACATGCATACTTTGTTGATTTGACACCTACAACGTTTTGTGCGGTCTTGAAATGCTTTCACAAATTGATAAACAATTACCTTGTGTTTAAAGTACGCCCAACGGTATGTGTTTTAGTTATCCAATGTTTTTTCTTCATTTTGTTTTGTTTTTTTTGGCTGTTTGATGAGATTCCTCTTTGCTCCGCTCACGTCAGAGCATTATCTTTGCTAAACACATGCATGCCCTGAGCCGTTGGTGATTGATGCTCACCGACACTTTCATCCACCGCATTTCTCTGATAAAGAAACCACTAACAAAATGATTTCCTTTTTCTCTCTCTATAATGCCTTCCCTGAAGGAAGTGGAGGTTTGTATAGCTCCTTTCATTGGCATTGAATTTGTCATGTACATATGCATGGATTTGAAGTATCTTTTAAACCGTGTCCTTGTTGACCTTGTTTCAGGAGCCGGGAACATGGACGCCATCCAAGCCCTTTGATCAAGGTCTGTGTCAATGGAATAAGCACCATTATTTTGAACACTCCTGTACAGTTCTATGTACATGCATATTATATCTGCTAATTGTTAATAGCACTGGGCAAAACTGTCTTAAAATATAAATCCGGATGTTTTTGCCCCCAAAATTCCCAATTTTCAATCGATTTCAATCGAGGACGTGGCCCTTCAAACACAGTCCTTTAATACGTGTTATCATTTTACACGTTTGACAATTAAACATCAATAGATGAAGAAAAGTATTCTGTTTGGGATTATTAGGTAACAACCAAACTGTCACTGATCGGAACAGGAATGAGTGGTGCTGCTTCTAAACAAAATGAATCTTTCTCCCTGAAATTGGGAACAGTCTTACATACAATATGAAGCATTCCAGGTACAACATTTTATGTCAAGGAAAGCCTGTCTCCAAAATGAGGCCTTAGTCATGCATGTCTCTGATTGGGTCACTTTGGGAAAGAGAGGCATTTCTGTCGTGTATTGGAGGTTAATTCCATGTGGCTGTGATATTTAGGGAACTTCCAAACACTCTTCTTGTGAAGTCACACCACCGAAAGTAGTTGGTTAAAATACAATAGATTGCGACTCGACCAGAATAAACTCAAGGGAAGCGCGGAATGCATTTAGATAAATTGTCATGGGGACGTTCTGAAGTTCATTACAAAAGCTGCAACCACCATTAAGGCGGACCGGCGCGTGGATAAATGATTGCTTTTGCTCCATATAAACAGGTGCCGTGGCTTTGACAAAGTTAAGCGCAATCAGCTCTGTAATTGTTTTTTCTTCTGTGCCACAGGCTTTGGGTTGAACAATCTTTCAAAACACTGCGCAGCAGACTGTTTGTTGCTCATTGTCTGACACGGCAAACTCAAATTGCACATGACTGACAAAACAATCGTTCTTCCAGTAAATAAATAAATCGAAGTTACACCCAGCCCCAACCCCTCCCCCCAAAAAACATTTACTCTATTGATGAAATCAATCAAACCCTGATATCCATCCATTGATCAATTTTCTGAGCCCCTTTCTCCTCACAAGGATCGCGGGGCGTGCTAGAACCTATCCCAGCCGTCTTCGGGCAGTAGGCGGGGGACACCCTGAACCGGTTGCCAGCCAATCGCAGGGCACACACAGATGAACAACCATTCACACTCACACCTAGGGACAATTTTGAGGGTTCAGTCAGCCTGCCATGCATGTTTTTAGAATGTGGGAGGAAACCGGAGTACCCGGAGAAAACTCACGCAGGCACGGGGAGAACATGCAAACTCCACACAGGAAGGCTGGAGCTGGAATTGAACCTGGCACCTCTGCACTGTGAGGTCGATGCGCTAACCATTGGCCCACCAGGCCGACTAAAACCCTGATATTTAGGACAAATTGTAACATGCATTTAAGAGTTTTGGCAGCTCATACCAATTTAACCCTTTCAGGGAGAGCGGTTACTACAGTGGACAGCTTCTCATGTTATCAGGTTACAGGGTGCATGAATGGGTTGAAGTTGTTATACCAAAGGAGAAAAATTAAGCCAGTCCAACAGGGAAAACGTGTCCACTGGACTTCACTATCACAATGTGATGAGTTTACACTGCCTATTCAATCAGTCATTTTGTTGCTCCCTAGCTCTAGGTGACACTTTCTCAGTTTTTCTTGTAAAAACAGACGCTAAGGTAGATTTCCAGTACCTGCTCAGCCTGGGTTCCATGCCTGCTGAGCTGCTGCCATGTGGGTGCTGCAAAGATGGTCATCGATTGAGCAGATTAATCATCACCACCACATTCCATTAGTGTGTTTGAGCTCTAAAGTCTACAAAAGAAACAGATACGAACATGCTAGCTTTCTGAATACTCCTCAGCCCTGCACCCTGCAATATACAAGCCGTGTCATTTCTTCTCTCTTTTCGCTTTTTGTCAGCAGCTCGAGTAAAATAGGGCGGAGGGGATGGGGTGAGGGAGATCCACAGATACACTTTCAGCCTTTTATTGAACGAGGCAAAAAGTCACACACAAATACAAAATGAGAACACTTACGAAACTCACCATAAACTCACTCCCAGACAAGTCCTGATGTCACTCACCAGGCCCTGCCCCTTGGAGCTTGGAGGCACACACACGTACAACACTCCACTTGTGTGATTTTGGTTTTTGTCCCATCACATCGTGACAACAATTAATAAAACAATGTTTTTACTGTAATATTTCCTTTTAATACATTTTATTGTCTTTATACAACACAGTGCTATTGTTCTTCATTCAGAACACGCACCAAAAAAACGATTGTGGTATTTTATGGCCGCTGGCAGGATTAAAGGAAGTTGAAAAGAAATGAAAGTCTCTAATTTCTCATCCACAGTTGTGCTGGCGTGCTTATCTAATGAAGCGAGCCAACATGCCTGGATAGAAAGACTTAATGAGAATCAAGAGGAGCCGCTGCTCAGTCACATGCACTTCGTTTTCTCGCAAATTGAAATTTACTGTTCCTCACAGTGGCCGTTTGTCATCCGACAGATGACTGGCTCTCCCCCTTTTATCCTCAGGCGACTGATCGTCTAATAAAAGTAAATGACAACGGAAACATCATTTTTTATACCTCCAGTCACCTTGATTCGCCATTGTAATAGAGAGGGTGATAAATGCATATTCGCATCCCAGCCCACTGGGACATGAGCACATAAAAGTCACAAGTGTAACCTCTAACACACCATATCCACTCTGGACATGACAGGGAAACAATAGTATTAGAGAGTGCGTTGGAGGATGGAGGCTGTGTAATCTAGCAAAGCTGCTCAGGGATTATCCTAAGGTTCTTTAGCCGAGAGGTCGCTCACAAACTGTTCTCGGATCAGAGCGGGGCCTCAGATCCTCTCCGTACACGTCGCCGTACGTGGCAAAGGCAGACCCGCGATCCGTGGCGGCCGCCTTGCGCTTCTACCAATAAAGATCACACCTTCAGGCTAACGCTCGCATCTGAAATCATCTTTCCTAAAAGCTGCCCGTCGCGCTCGGCTGCTACCAGATCAGTGCAATTAAAGAATTGCCGCACAAGCCCGGCGCACAGCTAAGGCTGATGTGAGGTCAGACGTAGCGTCTATAACTAGTTCCGTCTGTTTTTAGCGGCAAGGACGCTTACGGTATTACGGCTTTAGGTTCGGCGTGAGACAGACATTAGTGGCTTGAATTAGCGTGCGCAAACAGATGTCTCCCACATATCCATGTAGCTCGAAAGGATAAAAATGAAAGTACAAGCTTTGACTAAGGAATCGCTGACACATCTCGGAAAGAACAAAACGAACATTTAATCCTCGGAGATTATTCTCTCTGTGCTTCCCCCCCCTCTCCGTTGTTTTTTGTTTCTAGAAGCCCTTCTAAGAGCCACAAACAGACTGCAAATATACACACTTAAAAGCGTTCTCTTTGTGTATGCGCAGGCCTTGATCCCACCAAAGACCCATGTCTGAAGATCAAATGTGGCCGCCACAAGGTGTGTGTGGCTGAGGACTATAAAACAGCCACTTGTGTCAGCCAGAGGAGGGTTAGGTAATCAACACACACACACACACACACACACACACACACACACACACACACACACACACACACACACACACACACACACACACACACACACACACACTAACACGCTCCCATGTTAAAACTGTCTCGCTAAATTGCAGTCGGATGATTCCATACGACAAAGTTGCAAATGAAAGATGAATGTTCCTGCATCAGCGGCAAATCAAGTTTTTATTACTTGCCCTGACTTCATCGCGGCCTGCTGTGTTGTCTCCTCACTTATTAAAGTGGCAGGAAAAGCGCTAAGACCAGAGGGCTTTTCCTATGTTTGCCACTGCTCTACTGGTTGCTCCGCTCCCTCGTGATGGTGACCGTTGAGTCCAATTACCACAGTACTGAGGCAAAGCTCTGCCAAGTTATGTGAATGGGTCTTGAATATGGGTTTGTTGTGCGTGTTTGGTGGGGACACTGCAGACTGGACTGAGGACAGCAACACCATGCTGACCTCAATTGCCATTCTCGGCCACCGCGGTACCTTGCCATGCATGCACAGAGATCTCACAGGAGAAAATTGTCACACACAAATCTTTAATCCGAGTTTGTCAATGCATCGTTTTCATCTTCGTGTTCATTTTCTCTAGCTTTAAAGACGCCAGTTTGTACCAGAGTCCCGGCTCCAAGTGCAAACCCTGCCCCGTGGTTCACCCTTCTCCTGTTTGTGGAACCGATGGTCACACCTACTCCACCAAGGTACCATGGAGTGCATTCAACAGTATGGCTGAGACAAAATAACCATATCTGAATTTGCATGCATGCATGCATTTTGGCAGCGCAGACTATTATTATTACTATTGTTATTATTATTATGTTTCAAATATTTGTATCCTTGGAACTGTGGGCTCCGAATTCCTGTTTCAATGCCAGTGCAAGTGAACAAAAATAATGCAGGTAGGAGGGATGGTGCTATAGTGTACGTTGTAACCTAGGTAACATCAAGTTTTCCACATTGAGACGACAATGAACAGAATCTTTTACAATCGATTACATTTCATGCCGTGCCTAATTGCGATCGCACTGCAATCATGACACAGTATTTGTAAATAATAGTCCTATTTATCAGGAGTTCTCTGCAATACCCACCCCTTATACACAAACTAAATATGTTGTTGAATTGAAAGAAGGAAGTCACATGAGTTTCCTCATAATGTGACTCACGTTTTTTTCTCCTTCCACGGTTTCATTGTGTTAGTGCAAGTTAGACTACCAGGCATGCATCACTGGTAAGAAGATTGCTGTCAAGTGCCCTGGCATGTGTCCTTGCCCCGCTCAGCCTGAAGAGAGCTCTTCAGAGAGGAAAGGTGAGACACGCATGCGCACAGACACACACACACACACACACACACACACACACACACACACACTAAGATGGATATTGTGGTGCATGATCAGGATGAACAGGCAGATGATATCCTGGCCCCTTTTTCAAGCTCATTGATCACCTGAAGTGATTCCGTCGCCTCTTAGCCACCAAAGGAAGGAGTGAGGCAATAAAGCAGCATCATTAATCATGACTGTTGTTCTCTCTCAGTATGCAGCGAGTCTGAACTCAAGGAGGCAGTGGGTCGACTAAGAGACTGGTTCAGAGTGCTTCATGACAACGGCAACCACAAGAGAGACAAGATCCAGAAGAACAGTGAGTTGCGACATTAAAATATACTGCAACATATATGTATGTACTGCACATGTATATATTATATATATATATATATATATATATAAAAAACACACACAAACACACACACACACACACACACACACACACATATGAACTTTAATTGTCCGTCCCGATCAGAATTTGAAGTCGGCGCATCACCTGTATGCAAAGAGCCTCTCGGATGGATGTTCTCCCGCCTGGACACAAACTTTGACCTCCAGTTGGACCAATCAGAGATCAAGAGCCTCTACCTGGACAGGAACGAGCCTTGCTCCGACGCATTGTTCAAGTCATGCGATACGCACAGCGACCAAGTTATTTCCAGCTCCGAGTGGTGCACCTGTTTCCAGAGATACACAGGTAATACATATCACTTGTAAGAATGTTGCTGTTCTTATGATGATAAATATACTAGCATGAATCTTCTACATCCTGTTGAGCTAGTATTTACCAACCCACATTGAGCCAAGGCACATTTTACATTACATAAATCCCACAGCGCAACAGTCAACAAAAATGTCAATGTATTGTGTAGACTAAGGCCTTGTTCAGACTGTCAGCCAAAACCAAATTTTCAGCCCATCCATATTCAAACTGGATGGCTCTTTTGTTGTCTGAACAGTCACAAGGCACAAGAAATCCGACTTTTGCAAGACGGCTTGAAACCACATTCAGGAGGGACAGGATTTGGACAGGATGCGTCTCAATCTGTAGAGCTCCAAACACACCAAATGGTTTTGACTGTCTATGACATCACCCTATGCGATGCAAGACCTAATCCACCAGATGAGAGAGTGCCAATCAGGGATGTACTCAGACCAAAAAACTCTGGCTGGGGAGAATTTTTCGACAGCCAAGGATGGGGGTGGCGTGATCGTCGACCGCGGGGTAGATGGTGCAAACGGGGGCCTTCGCGTGCCTGAACTTAATTGTTGATGTTGGAGCGGGGGGTCATGAAGTGCTGAGTGGTGATGTCAAACACAGAATCCCAGTCTGTCCTTAAAAAAAATAAATCAATAAACACGACACTGTGCTTATTACCATGCCTTAGATTGGAAGTCCCTTCTGCAGAAAAAGCTGAAACACAAACAGCACAACAATAGCACACAAAAAGGCAAAGTTCACATCAACAGAACCTTTTCAGTAAGGCAGACGTGTGCAGTTTGTCACCACAGTCCCTCCTATTGCCTTTCCAGACTCTCCCTGTAAAGCTGAGCTGTCATCCATCGGCAAGAAGCAAGTGGGAAAAAAGCTGCTCGGTAAGCCCAAACACACCCACGCACACATGCATACGTAGTACACTTATGCAAACACCAACACTGCTTATCTTCCTATGTGTTTTGAACCACATCTTGCAGGCCAGTACCTGCCCTCATGTGATGAGGACGGTTACTACCGCTCGCACCAGTGCCACAGCAGCAGCGGCCAGTGCTGGTGTGTGGATCGCTATGGCAACGAGCTGGCCGGCTCGCGTACCCATGGCCCAGCTGACTGCGGTAAGTAAAGACGTGAGGGAATTGAGTAAAGGAACACAATGAACCACGCATGGGTATATACAGTTTGGAAATTGTGAAACGTGTTCATGCTTAGTTAAGACGGCAGCAAAAATCGATTGAATGGGATAGACTGCAGCATGCCTGCAACCCTCGTGAAGATTAGCGGATTAGAAAATGGATGGATAGCTTTGTTGAGGGTCAATGTTAGTGATGGGAAAATGAAGCTTCAAACTTGCTTCATGAACCATTTGTATTGTTTGACTCCTCTAGATGACACTCTCTGTTCAACAATGGGATGAAAGTACAGTGACTGGCCAATTCCTAAACCCGTTTATTTAAACCAACAGTGCCATTTAGAGGTGTCAATCCAACAACTGGTTCATGAAGCATATTGAAGCTTTACCATCACTAGCTAATGTGCAAACAGAACAATAGACAAAAATCATGTGGCATACTGGTTCATCTAATTTGTGAAATCAGTGATAGGACAAATTAAAATCACACATTTTAAAATCACAGGATTTTAAAAGAGCTAGCCGATTAATTGGTCGAGCCCCATTTGACAGTTTCACAACTATTTTGACTGTGTCTGTGCCTGAAGTCTGTCCCTTATGCATGCGGCAGCTAGTTTGCTTCACTAACTAGAAAACAAAGCTTAAATAAGTGATGGAGCTTCTTATGCACATGCTCATTTCTTGGCTGAGCTGCGGATCTTCAGGGAGTCACGCTAGCTGTGAACATTGTTTTCTATTTGTTTCTCATGGAAGATTGCTTTCATGCAGAGAAGCACAATTTAGACAGACACTTGTGATGTTTATGAATAGTTCTCTGTTTTTTAGGCGTGATTTTAGAGTCTTCAGGAGATCTCGGTAGCGGAGACTCCATGATCACCGAAGACGATGAAGATTCCTTTGTCCTCGATGAGCAGGCTGGGCTGGACGATGAGGAGGACGACGATGACGACGACGATGAATATCTGTCGTAATTTTAATGTGTTCTTTTTTTAAGAAAACAAAAAAGAGAGAAACTGTTTGTTTGGTCAAACTGCACGTTTCTTGGCGACTTCCCTGGCAGATATTTCATCATACTAACAGCCTAAGGACTAATCTGTGTTCTCTTTGTTTTTACCTATATACAAAAAAAAGATGTTCCATTTTTCTTTTAATTTCACTTCCTGACTATAAAATACTGTTGGTTAATGGCATTTGTTGCCTCGACTGCCGTTGCCAACAATGACAGCCAATCCAGTGCTTTGGATGTGGTCACATGTGCAAAAACCTCCCTTTTCATTGGACACTCGTGTCCTCTTGGTGTGTCCTGTCCTTGTACACCACTCTGAGTGTGTTGATGCCTGAGGCGCGCTATTTAAGAGATTCCCCCCCGCCCTCCTCCTCTTCTTCATCCCTCGCTCTCCTGCTCCTTATCTAATGTTCCTGTGTATAGGTGGGATGTTGATGATGTAGATAAGAGAATATTGCACTCTTTCGGTTTCTTTTCATCTCCATTCGTAACTGTGACTGTGTGGAAAAACAAGATATGGGTCGGACACGCTTCCTTGTTGGAAGAGTTGAGACATAAACATAGCGTTCAGTGTTGGAAAACTATATATATATTTAAAAAAAAAATCTAATCATCTCAAAAGGCTCAGCTACCGATTAGTGCTTAGAGGGAGGGAAAAAAGCCAGAGGCGTTGAGGGTGAAAATGATGATGTATTTTTCTAATCCATTGTTGGATGATTACAGAGGATTTGTTGTAGCATGTTCAAACGCTGCGTGACGTTGCAGCAGCCAACTTCAAAATAGTGTGTACAGATTGAAGCGCGGCTAGCAACAAATCACATATTGTCTACTGAGCTTCGAGGGGAAAAAAAACAAACAAAAAACATTCTGAACAGTAGATGTTATACGTTTTTCTTTTTGGGCAGACTCATTCGATTTGAAAAGAAATGTGTTGCACAGTAAAAGAACCACAGAGCCATGCGGGATGGTGGAAAGGTGAAGGTGTGCCTTTTTCTAGTGGGGACAGGTGATGGACTGAACCTGACTTAAACTGAGCTAATCGTGAAACGACGTGAGAGGAACTTTACTGTCTGGCTTTTCTCGTACTTCAGCTGCTGTTCTCCTTTCTTTCGTAGGATTGCTAAGACGTAGAGAAGCACACAAGCCATTTAGGGGCTTAAAAGTTTAAATTCAGCTGGATTTCCACAGGTTTTATACAATATATTAGTAGACTGAGTCGGGAAGATTAAAAAAAATGGTGGCTGGGATGGCTTCATAGAGATTGAAAAAAGTCTTGATTTGCATATGCGCTACCCTGCTATACTGACCAGTAAATTAGTCTAAATGCATATCTGGGGTCAGTTTTACATTCATTTTCGGGGCGTACAGGTCCACGAGTTAGGGGACGCAAATATTTGGTCTGCCCTGGGTGCTGGCAACCCATACTACACCACTGTTGTCAAGTAATATTGTTGTATTTTGTGTAGACATTCATCGCCCCCCGCCACTGCCCCGCCACCAAAGAGATTTATCAGTTTCATTCGGACCACGTTCAATTGTGCACTCAAGATCTAGACGTGGGCCAAAAATGGTATCCCTTTCTTCAAGTATAATGTTTTTTTTTCCCCCCACATAAAACATGATTTTTTTTTTTTTTTTTGACACCGTCTACTGTATGGTATCATGAAAAAAAAATGCCAGGCGGCTAATGGGACACATTGTGGTCATCTCGTCATTAAACGGTTTGTTTTCAACTAGGTTTCGATATTTCTAACGTGTGCCATCTAAAGTAAAATGTGACCCGAATAGTTCTTGGTTTGAATCTCTTAACATGGAATTCCACTTTACATCAAGAAATTCTGATAAATAATTCTACTTGCAAACTTGACTAGCTTAGATTAGACACTGTAGCTATCTTCAACACTGTCGTCTTGGTTAGCGTCTAAAGCTTCAGGCCATACAGATGCTTTTCTTTTTTTTTTCTTTCTTTTTTTTTTTTTACAGTGTAATTATGATTTGCTGAAATAAAATGCTATATTGACCTTTTTTTTTTGCTCCTGAGTCCTTTGCAAGCGCATTCTGTTCCCCTCATTGTTTGACTTCCCCCCTGACTTTTTTGTTTTGAATAGAGGAAAAATGAACCTTCACACTGTAGACATGTCTGCGGTTGAAAGGAAATAAGGAACGTGCTGCTATCAGTGAGAAGTGAAAAAGCATGAGTTGTCAAGTTGATGAAATATACAGCCGATCTTGTCCTGGAAACAAAGTGATTCCAGTAAGTGGATGACGAGGACGCTTATGCATAACTTAAAGCCATTTTGGAAGTGTGGGGGACAAATCGCTTGTTTGTCCGTAATGATGTGTGTGTGTGTGTGTGTGTGTGTGTGTGTGTGTGTGTGTGTGTGTGTGTGTGTGTGTGTGTGTGTGTGTTGAGCGGCATCACTGCATTATGTAGGAGAACAGCTTAATATTTGATGTCTTATCGTCACACAAACGCTATACGGTGCATATACACACACAGAGCAGGAACAGTGGGAAGCAAACTTCTAACATTGCAAATTTGGAAATGTTAAGACCGGGATACTGACCTAGAAAGTTTGTTTCCAGACAAGACGCAGGAACGATCATCAATGGTTATTTGTGTGTGCATTTGTTGGTATTCATCACTTGTGGGGACAAAATTCAAGGAAATCCTAGAATAGAAAAGCCAAGCTTAACATGTGTGAGTTTGTAAGCATAAACTGATTTATTATTATTATTAATTGTATTGGTAGTGGTAAGCTTTGTGGAACAAAAACATGAAGCAACATGCATCTGTAAGAAGACAATTTTGGACACATACGGCACTACATCGACACTTGCAGAGGCACAACAAAAAGAGGTCACTGTTTTTGTAGTTAATCTGCACACTTAAAAGAAAAAGGGTTCCATGCCGTCTAAGAGTGTTAAGCATGAATAAAATGCATCTTATATTGTGGTCATGCAAATAATATTTTTCTGTCTAAAGGTTTACACTTGATCTCATCTGGACATCATCGAGTGCGCTTCAACAAGCACTTGTCGTGTCGTCCGTAACTCCTATCCACTTTTTTTGGGACATGAATGTGACTTTTCAGCTGAGGGCACCTAGAAGGGCTACGGTGGCTCTGGTTTCAGTGTGGGGACCAAAAATCTCCTTCTGAAAAACAAGCACAATTGTGACATTTTTCATTGTTTTGTTGTTTTGTACATCCTTGTGTGTGTGTGTGTGTGTGTGTGTGTGTGTGTGTGTGTGTGTGTGTGTGTGTGTGTGTGTGTGTATACATGCCTTGGCAAGCATCACTGAGTAAATGTCAAACGCTCATTTTAACTTTTGTCCTCTCCCTGTATGCACAGCCTGTGGAAATATGCATAGATGCAATCTCAGAGGCCCACTTCCACCCAGTTGTTGGATGAGGGCCAACAATACAAAAATGATCTATGGAGACTGAAAGTTGAAGCTGTGATGGGAAGTGCCTCAATTTGCAGGAAGCACTTTTGATGTTCGGAAATTAGGTTTCTTGGATAAACAAGGCACGGTGACCTGAGTTCAGCTTTTCCAGTCATTTTTTTCAAAGTTAAGTTGACTTTTATGGTGATCAACCAGCCCATGCACTTATTGGAAAAATCCAATAGGTATGTATTCCTGACAAACAAACAAACAAATAAACAAACAAATGTCAACAAAAAAAGAAAAACAAAAACACTTCATAAAATACTTTATAGTCACCAATAGCGATCTTCAAAGATCTGGTGCTTTTTAACATTTTTTACGTGCCATTATGGCAACCAAAATTCATTGGGTAGCTAATATTGATGACGTTTTTGATTGTTCTGTTCTCAGCTGGCCTCACTATTTTTATGTTTGCAATGCTCTTTTCGTTGCGCAACTCTAATTGTTGAAAAAGTTCCTGAGATATGAGCCGAGCTGCTGAGGAGGCAGGAGGGCTTCCTTTAATGGTCACTGTTAGTCAATACACTGGAACACACACATGCACACAGGAAGCTCATGTTACTGTGGCTGCATCAGCACGCACATTTGCAAGTGCGACAGCCAGGATAGATTTAATGGCTGTAAACTATTCACCATTTGAAGCCGGCCTTGTTTTCTTCAGGTCAAATCCTTATTTCATCATCTGCTGTGTTGAGAACACACCACATGATGAACACTGCTTGTCGGCAAAATAAATAACCGTCGGTAAAAAGCCAACCATATGTTGACAGGCAGACATAAAAATCACTCGAGAGTGGTGAAAATAACTATACTGTGCTGTATACTATGTTTTATGGTCGTGAACAACCATCGTGCCTGTGTGAGGCTGATAGTCGGATTTTCTTCCAATTCTTGCCAACTACAAAATATAGCGCACATTCTAAAATGTGCGCTATATTTTATATTCTACATAAAAAAATTCTAAATACTTTAATATACTGTCACTGTAGTAATAGTTGTCATTCTCTAAAACTAGTAGTACCACAAGGGGTGTGGTGGCAATTGGGAAATTTGGGACGAGCCCTGAACGGCCGCTCAATTCCAGGCCAGCAAGTTATTTATGTATTTATATTTTTTAAATAAGCCCTAATTCCAAAATAATGTCCAATACACCCCACCGCCGCCACCACATTTTTTACAAAAGGTAATTACAGAATACTGTTCAACAAATACAAGACGATTTATAAGCCTGCTTGCATGCGCAACAGCGCACCAGCGGCTTTAGTGATGAGGTGGTGCTGGTCTTGGAGAAGTAGGAGGGGGAAGGTGTGCTGGTCTTGGGGGAGAAAGAAGAGAATGAAGCAGGAACCAACAATAACCAGACTGGTAGAGATGTATGTCAGCCTGGCGTATTGAAGACACTTATAATATGCATAGTATAGTCCAAACATTATGACCTAAGAACACTGTGACTGCTCATTTGTTGGTATTCGGGGCCTCATCACATGACAGAAGAAAGACAAAATGTCCGCCCATTGGTCTGGGGACCTTTCCATCTCAAATTCCCGGGTCAAGAAGCCATTGTAACATTCAAAAGAAAGGAAAAAACTAAATGAGTCAATGAACTAAACATTGTTTCAACGATTTATCGTGCATAACATTTCATACTAAATCCGAGTTCATTCTGACTGGTTGGCTGCCTACAGTAGTAAGCCAGAATGCATTTATCTGTTAACATAATGGACAAGAAAAATGTGTTTTTGTTCCAAGAAAAAAAAAAGAGTTGTAGTGAAAAGTCACTTTTCTACATTTTGTGTATTTATTAACTACTACTAAAACGTCATGAAGTAACTCAATGTACTCAAAACTGTATTGTAGTGTAAAAAAAAAAGCAAATTTGGTTTACTCTGCTACCAAACTAAAGGATCCGCTCTACTGTTTAACCTTTAGTCATGACAATTTCATACTTTCAAGTGACTGAAGGTACTCTATGTATTAAAAACAAAAAAATCCGCGTAATCACTCAAATCAAATCATCCTGGCCTGCCAAAAGAGGTGTTTTCCTGTCTTTCCGCGTAATCACTCAAATGTTCCATCCTGGCCTGCCAAAAGAGGTGTTTTCCTGTCTTTTTCGCCCTCTCAACAAAGGGCTTCCAGGAACGACTTGCGCTCTGTGAGTACTAAAGGGATCACTTAGCTGTGACTTAAAGCTGGCCATCAAGCGCTGCTCCTCTGTATTTGTGGGTTTTATGGGAGGAGACAGGCAGCAGCATACAAAGAGAGCTTTCCCATCGATGACCTAATGGCATTGTGGCTTCACTCGGCACTGGAAGGCAAATGGGCACCAGGCAGTAATGTATGCATCAGTGAGATTGTATGTGTCGTCTTTGATTGGCATCTCCTGAAAATACTTGATTTTTACAACTTCCCTGATTTAAATTTTTTGGGGGGACAAGTTCTCACCAATGTGCATCCGACACCATTTTTATATCAACAAATTAATAAAAGGCATGTGAGGATATGATGTCATATTAATCCGATTTAAGGATGATTTATTGGAACGCTAGCTTCAGTTTAAGGTTGGTTAGGTTCCACACAAAACGGAGGCAATCGAGATTGTTCACGATTGAAAAAAAATCAGACAAGATATTTCCTGTGTGGGTGTTTTATAAAACTCTCTTCCTTAATTTGTTTTTGGTTCTCACTAACCTTTAGGACCAGTTCTTTTCACTTCCTGTTTCTCATCCGCTTATAATGGATAGTGAGGAACAAAAACTGTTTAATGTGCTTTATCAGAAAGGCAGATGCTTTTTGAAGTACAAGAGACCTTCATATACACGGAAGCACATTTAATAGACGTGCATCTTAGTGAATGAGTATCTCATGTTTCCATAGTTCCTTTTAAAAGTGCAACTGTAACCAAAGTTGATTTGTCATAAACCTATGAAAAATAAAAATCGGATTCAGTGCGTGCCGTGAATGTACTGGATATGAATTTCAGTGCTTGAACTGAAATACAAAAAAAAAAAAGCTCTCCAAGTTATTATAATTTATTGAGATGCACAATTTATATTATCTACTTGTTTTGCTTTAACTTGCCTAATTTGTACATCCACGACAGTATGACTTGATGATTGAACTTCAATGCATTTCTGCCCCCTGCTGTTTAGGAAGGGAGGCGTACAATTCAGGAAGAAGTTTGTGAATTCCAGATCACAAGAGACCTTACGTATTTATTTGAGGTACAAAAACAGTTACAAAACAGTCAAACAGTTATTGCAAAGCTGAAAAATGTACACCGAGTGTTTTTAGTTCCCAAACATGTTAAACCATGTTAAATCGGTTCTTGGTGAGCTTTAAAACAAAAACAAACCTGTATTTGGGGTTGAAGAAAGACATTTGAAAGATTTTGAACAAAGCCCCAAACTGTAGTGTCATAAAAACAAAACAAAGAATCTTCTGTCAGAGTAAGTAAGTTAAAAAAACAAAACAAAAACAAAAAACTAAAAATCTTCTGTCGGCGTTATTAATAGGTTCCTTGGTTATGACTCTCTCCATTAATCTCGCATCCCTTCTCACGTCTGCAAAGAAAAAAAAAAGTTGAATTCATTCAGTTGAATTAACTTGCACAAGCATGTAGCAGCTCGCAATGTAACTGAACAACATTTCTGAACTCACCATAGGCTTCATCTCTCGTCCACTTCCATCCTCTGGCTTGTAACGGCCACTTTTCTTACTATTCTCAACATATTCCTGGCAAAACAAACAAAAATAAATAAATATATAAGGTGGATTTCTATGACATAGTGGGGATTACCACGAAAAAGACCTGTAAAAATTCAACAAACAATACGAGCGCTGCTGGTACCATTAAGGTCTTGTCCATGAAGTACTCCCGACCGGCGCTGCCGTCGTTGTACTTGCTGTCGACAGCAAAGCAGAGGAAGAGCACGTCCACCACGTTCTCGAAAACCGAGAGGAAACAGTGGGCCACCATGTAGGCAAACACGCAAACGATGAGGAGGGGAAGGACCCACACGGTATACTCGCGCTGGTAGTTCAACGCCAGCACGCCGGCGAATGCCGTGCAGGCCACAATGAGCACCTATCATGCAGACACACATCACAAAAGATTAGTCAGGTCGGCAGAACGCCAAGTCTGAGCGATGTGGAGAACTCACAAAAGTACACCCCACACATTTTTTTTTGTCATCTATTATACCTGAGATCTTGTATAACTAAAGAGTAACAGAACAACGGGAGGGGAAAATGGCTAAAAATACACACATGACATTTTCACTTTGGGGTGTACTCACTTTTGTTGCGGCGTATGGTTGAGTTACTTTGAGGGGAAAGTAAATTTACACTGTTAATCAACCTTGCGACATTGTACCAAACTGTCTTTGGTTTAGTGTTATCCCATGAAAACAGTTGATTACATATTTTAAAATTATGTTGGGGCGTTGTCATTTTAGTGAGCTAGTGTATTTAAGGGCTTGAGTACGGTACCTTTCCCAAAAAGAGCACAAAGTCGCCCACGGTGTTGATGGTCGCTACTCGCACGGCGTTCTCCACTAGGATGACGAAAGCATCACGAGCTGATGTGCAGAAACTGGTGCTGTTGATGGCTGTGGCTGTATAAGCATTCTATACAACCACACATTGGGTCGAGTCATTAAATTCATGAAATGCTCATGTCATGTTTTTGCCGAGGGGCTGGGTGATTCATCAATTTTTGAAATGAATTCAAGTCAGCTTCTGTTGCTGAAAGCACATCTTTGCTAGCGTACACACAACAACATAAGCACGAACACAGAGGAGCTACTCTCGAAAAAAAAAAACACGATTTGCCAAACTAAGAACTGCAAAGATATCGAAGGAATTTCCTGACCCTTTTTGCAACTCTTTTTGAAAAAAATGACTTGCAACATTAGTTCTTGCTAAGAAACAGACATGCGTGGAGTCGTTTCAACAATGATTTGCCCAGTGGAAAGCAATGAAGAGTCAATAGTGTTGAACATTGCCAAACACATGGTGTCCAATTATACTGCATGCGATTCATCGACGTGTAATCTTTTGCCAACTTTTGACCCGAGATATATGTGACCAAGGTGCAAATGTTTTGCTGGGGTCGCCTTGCCTCACCTGAAGAACTCCACAGAAGAAAAGTGTGTGTGCCAGAGCTTGAGGTGATGCTGTGTTGCTATTTGACAAGTCATGCCAAGCATTTAAAACGTAACTAGAAGAAAATCATTAATCTTGATTTTTTTTTTTTTTGTGGGGAAAAAAAAAAACCAAACAAACATTTTTTAAGGCCCTATCGCCCAGCCCAAGACCGAACTGGATTTCACTTACCTGATTCAAGTATGCCAGGCACTTTTCCAAACACCATAAGCAGCACACGCATGTTTTTAGCATGCAGCGAGCACACGCATTCTCCTGGGAAAGATATCGCACAAAGTTAGCATCACAAAAGTAACCCTAGGAGTGGAATTTTATTTTGATTTTTTTTTCCCAGGTAGGCTCACTTTTCCTTTGAGTTGACTGTGGATGTAGGTCAGGATGAGACGGGGAATCTTGACCAGCGTGATGATGAAGGAGCCTTTGGCCAGAGTACCGAGATGGTAGCGGAGGGTACGAACCGTTGCGGACAAGATAGGAGTGGATGGCATGTTCGATTTATTCCTGCAGAAGAGCAACAATAAAAATACGGATGGCTGCCAGTAAAAGAAAAAAAAAACATTCCAGGGAAGCTTATACCATCCATTCAAGCAAAATATGCATTATAATATTTGGATTTGATCTGTTAGGCGTAGGTAAAAATAAAGGCAATGAACAATGATTTAACATGAAAAACTAAAAAAGTGAACAAAAGTCATAAATCAGATTACCATAATAATCCAAGCAAATCTGTGGCTTTCTCATTTCACTTTTTCGTGTTTCGTGAAACAAGTACATGTAAACATGTGGACTGCACATCTTATCTGGACACTATATTGCTAAACACATATACAACAATACGTACAAAGCCTTCTGACCGACCAAACTAAAGCAGCCTCTACGATTTGAAAATTGCATTCTACGACAATGTAATGTCAATTTGAACTGGATGATTTGTTCATTAATTGTTCTAGGCATTTCTCAAATGTCCTTCTTGAAAATTTGGATCCTTTGAATAAGAAGTCCAAAAATGTACAGTATTTGTGTTTTGCAGTACTCCCTCCAAACCAACTACATCCAGGTGATGCCCACAATATGTCGGCAACAATTTGAGTTGGGCACATTCATTTATTCAATCCACATGACTTTCTCATGGGTAAGATTGTTGTGGAATGACACCAACAAGGAATAAAAAAAAACGATATTATGCTAATAAACCCCACCAGACGATGACTGGTCGTTACCGTGTGAAGTAGTAGGTGACCACAGCACCAGCGATGGTCATCTGTTGAAAGGCGAGGATGAACTCACTGATCCAGATGAGACCCACTGCGTGATACCAGACCAAGTACTGAGCGGGTCCATTCATCGGATACTCCACCATATTTGTGGAGTTGTTTTTCACCGGGCTTCCTGTAAAGAGCAGAAGTGCCACACATGTTGGATTATATCTGATTCGTTGAACTCGTTGCCAGATAAGGTCAGTAAAATATTACAAAAGGCACTTCGCACAGGTGGACTGTCACCAACCTATAAACTAATTGAATATGATCAACTAAAAGATTAATAAAAAAAAAATGTACTCATTTATAGATGCCTCTTAATAAATTTGAATATTGTAAGAAAGCAGAATTTCCATAAATGCAATTTGCTAAATTGGTATTGATTCATATCACAGAGTGAAAATGTGAATTTATTTTGTCATCACTTTGGTAATTATACCTTAAAACAAACAAAATTGACCATTCCAAGGATTTTTTTACACTATCCATCCATCCATCCATCCATTTTCCACCGCTTATCCGGGGTCGGGTCGCGGGGGCAGCAGCTTTAGGAGGGAAGCCCAGACTTCCCTCTCCCCAGTCACTTCTTCGAGCTCTTCCTGGCGGATCCCGAGGCGTTCCAAGGCCAGCTGGGTGACATAGTCTCTCCAGCGTGTCCTTGGTCGTCCCCGGGGGCTCCTGCCCGTGGGACATGCCTTCCTTGGTTATGACTCTCTCCATTAATCTCGCATCCCTTCTCACGTCTGCAAAGAAAAAAAAAAGTTGAATTCATTCAGTTGAATTAACTTGCACAAGCATGTAGCAGCTCGCAATGTAACTGAACAACATTTCTGAACTCACCATAGGCTTCATCTCTCGTCCACTTCCATCCTCTGGCTTGTAACGGCCACTTTTCTTACTATTCTCAACATATTCCTGGCAAAACAAACAAAAATAAATAAATATATAAGGTGGATTTCTATGACATAGTGGGGATTACCACGAAAAAGACCTGTAAAAATTCAACAAACAATACGAGCGCTGCTGGTACCATTAAGGTCTTGTCCATGAAGTACTCCCGACCGGCGCTGCCGTCGTTGTACTTGCTGTCGACAGCAAAGCAGAGGAAGAGCACGTCCACCACGTTCTCGAAAACCGAGAGGAAACAGTGGGCCACCATGTAGGCAAACACGCAAACGATGAGGAGGGGAAGGACCCACACGGTATACTCGCGCTGGTAGTTCAATGCCAGCACGCCGGCGAATGCCGTGCAGGCCACAATGAGCACCTATCATGCAGACACACATCACAAAAGATTAGTCAGGTCGGCAGAACGCCAAGTCTGAGCGATGTGGAGAACTCACAAAAGTACACCCCACACATTTTTTTTTGTCATCTATTATACCTGAGATCTTGTATAACTAAAGAGTCACAGAACAACGGGAGGGGAAAATGGCTAAAAATACACACATGACATTTTCACTTTGGGGTGTACTCACTTTTGTTGCGGCGTATGGTTGAGTTACTTTGAGGGGAAAGTAAATTTACACTGTTAATCAACCTTGCGACATTGTACCAAACTGTCTTTGGTTTAGTGTTATCCCATGAAAACAGTTGATTACATATTTTAAAATTATGTTGGGGCGTTGTCATTTTAGTGAGCTAGTGTATTTAAGGGCTTGAGTACGGTACCTTTCCCAAAAAGAGCACAAAGTCGCCCACGGTGTTGATGGTCGCTACTCGCACGGCGTTCTCCACCAGGATGACGAAAGCATCACGAGCTGATGTGCAGAAACTGGTGCTGTTGATGGCTGTGGCTGTATAAGCATTCTATACAACCACACATTGGGTCGAGTCATTAAATTCATGAAATGCTCATGTCATGTTTTTGCCGAGGGGCTGGGTGGCACATCTTTGCTAGCGTACACGCAACAACATAAGCACGAACACAGAGGAGCTACTATCGAAAAAAAAACACGATTTGCCAAACTAAGACCTGCAAAGATATCAAAGGAATTTCCTGACCCTTTTTGCAACTCTTTTTGAAAAAAATGACTTGCAACATTAGTTCTTGCTAAGAAACAGACATGCGTGGAGTCGTTTCAACAATGATTTGCCCAGTGGAAAGCAATGAAGAGTCAATAGTGTTGAACATTGCCAAACACATGGTGTCCAATTATACTGCATGCGATTCATCGACGTGTAATCTTTTGCCAACTTTTGACCCGAGATATATGTGACCAAGGTGCAAATGTTTTGCTGGGGTCGCCTTGCCTCACCTGAAGAACTCCACAGAAGAAAAGTGTGTGTGCCAGAGCTTGAGGTGATGCTGTGTTGCTATTTGACAAGTCATGCCAAGCATTTAAAACGTAACTAGAAGAAAATCATTAATCTTGATTTTTTTTTTTTTTGTGGGGAAAAAAAAAAACCAAACAAACATTTTTTAAGGCCCTATCGCCCAGCCCAAGACCGAACTGGATTTCACTTACCTGATTCAAGTATGCCAGGCACTTTTCCAAACACCATAAGCAGCACACGCATGTTTTTAGCATGCAGCGAGCACACGCATTCTCCTGGGAAAGATATCGCACAAAGTTAGCATCACAAAAGTAACCCTAGGAGTGGAATTTTATTTTGATTTTTTTTTCCCAGGTAGGCTCACTTTTCCTTTGAGTTGACTGTGGATGTAGGTCAGGATGAGACGGGGAATCTTGACCAGCGTGATGATGAAGGAGCCTTTGGCCAGAGTACCGAGATGGTAGCGGAGGGTACGAACCGTTGCGGACAAGATAGGAGTGGATGGCATGTTCGATTTATTCCTGCAGAAGAGCAACAATAAAAATACGGATGGCTGCCAGTAAAAGAAAAAAAAAAAATTCCAGGAAAGCTTATACCATCCATTCAAGCAAAATATGCATTATAATATTTGGATTTGATCTGTTAGGAGTAGGTAAAAATAAAGGCAATGAACAATGATTTAATATGAAAAACTAAAAAAGTGAACAAAAGTCATAAATCAGATTACCATAATAATCCAAGCAAATCTGTGGCTTTCTCATGTCACTTTTTCGTGTTTCGTGAAACAAGTACATGTAAACACGTGGACTGCACATCTTATCTGGACACTATATTGCTAAACACATATACAACAATACGTACAAAGCCTTCTGACCGACCAAACTAAAGCAGCCTCTACGATTTGAAAATTGCATTCTACGACAATGTAATGTCAATTTGAACTGGATGATTTGTTCATTAATTGTTCTAGGCATTTCTCAAATGTCCTTCTTGAAAATTTGGATCCTTTGAATAAGAAGTCCAAAAATGTACAGTATTTGTGTTTTGCAGTACTCCCTCCACACCAACTACATCCAGGTGATGCCCACAATATGTTGGCAACAATTTGAGTTGGGCACATTCATTTATTCAATCCACATGACTTTCTCATGGGTAAGATTGTTGTGGAATGACACCAACAAGGAATAAAAAAAACGATATTATGCTAATAAACCCCACCAGACGATGACTGGTCGTTACCGTGTGAAGTAGTAGGTGACCACAGCACCAGCGATGGTCATCTGTTGAAAGGCGAGGATGAACTCACTGATCCAGATGAGACCCACTGCGTGATACCAGACCAAGTACTGAGCGGGTCCATTCATCGGATACTCCACCATATTTGTGGAGTTGTTTTTCACCGGGCTTCCTGTAAAGAGCAGAAGTGCCACACATGTTGGATTATATCTGATTCGTTGAACTCGTTGCCAGATAAGGTCAGTAAAATATTACAAAAGGCACTTCGCACAGGTGGACTGTCACCAACCTATAAACTAATTGAATATGATCAACTAAAAGATTAATAAAAAAAAAGTACTCATTTATAGATGCCTCTTCATAAATTTGAATATTGTAGGAAAGCAGAATTTCCATAAATTTAATTTGCTAAATTGGTATTGATTCATATCACAGAGTGAAAATGTGAATTTATTTTGTCATCACTTTGGTAATTATACCTTAAAACAAACAAAATTGACCATTCCAAGGATTTTTTTACACTACATAAAAAAAAAAAATCAAATAATTTTTTTTGAACACCAACAAAGATGATTCGTTCCCTGATTTAACACTCATGAAGAGAATGAGCAATACATTTTGAAAATTAAGCAATCCAATCTCACGAATTAGGGGCGAAACGCTTTAGAATGCCTCTCTTATCATTTTCACTTTGGTTTGATTAGTCCACAAAGATGTTCCACTCGTGTAAGGACATGAATTGCGTTGTTTAGAGTTTCTTTGTACAGCTCAGTGGCCAAATGGCAAAATTTTGCTGAGAATAATCATGAGCTAACTGCAAGACTGAAAACAGAAGTGGGAGATGAGAAGAGAAGCGGCTCTTTGACTCTGTCCTCCCACACCACGAGACCGGCACAAGATTCCGGATGTGGGAGTTAAGTTGCGCCACGAGATCAGGACAAAATGTCACAAAACTAACTTCTTGGAAGTTGGAAAGGGCCTCACGATCAACTTATTTAGCATACAAAACTAACGCACTGCATACAAAAGCAGACAAAAATTCGCCGCGTTCAACCTGAAAGTCCGAGGAGGAGAAAGACGGCCAGCCAATAGACCCAGAAGAGCATCAGGCAGAGAAAGGTCCAGAAAGGCTGCAGGACCAGCAAGGGAATGTGGATGAACACTTTTCCAGCCACGTGGAACAGAGAAATCGTGAGTGCCACGCGCTTCCTCAAGAAGACCATGATCAGCAGGAGAACCACCTGGAGGAGAGAAAGTGGGTTCCACAAGCCTTACATTTGATCAAATTACAACTTTGGACCGAAAAAGTAATTTCTCACATGGAAAAAAAAATAAATAAATAAAAATATGCTTCTCAAATGGTTGCCTTAAATTAATAATAACACTTTTTGGGGGAAGGGGGTGTGACACTTGACCCCTGCATATTCGCAGTTCACCATTCACAAATTGCCCCATTTGCATATCTACTGTATTCCTAGCTATTTCACGAAAAACTCACCTAGTTGCCATTTTCGTGCTCTTTCTGAAACGACCGACGATGCCATACGATACAGTCTAAGCGCCGTCTCTTAAAATAGGAATACTGAGAGGTAAGCTTTGCATGTCGGGGAGAAGGTAAGTTTAGCCTAGGTTATTAGTGGACATTGCAGTCTTTGACACAAGTGAATGTACATGAACATATCCAGTAAGGCTATTTTGTTTTGTTTTGTGTTTTTTTTTTTTTTTGTTGTTGAATCAAATCATCCATAAGCCCTTTATTTTTAATAGCAATGTGAGATGCATTTTAAATGTCATTGAATGTTTTTGGGATCACAAATTGTGGTACATTAATAGTACAAATTATTAACGTTGGAAAATATAGTCCTCATTCGCAGCTGTACTGTACTCATCGGAGCAACAGACTGAGTGTGAGAAAATTTTAAGTGCCAATGCTTTTGTCCGGTGTCATCATCAGAGTTGGCACTTTTATGACTGTTAATAATTATAAAATCTTATTTAAAACATTGTAGAGTTAATAAAGATTTCACGAAGGCGGTAGTTTGAGCCATGAAATCCATTCCATTTCCACAATATGACTGAAAACAACACTTATCATCCAGTAGTGGCTTAATCACATGCTGCTCTAACTTATCTGTTTGAGAACGAAAAATGAAAGGCAAAATTAAACCAAATGATCCCCTCTAAATTATTAAAATGACACGAACAGAAAAACATCCAAAGATATAAAGAGCAACGGCAATTGTGTTCTTTGCCGTCTCGTGTTTGAATAATCAGATGCTTAAAACAAAACGTCTGCTGACATACCATGAAAACAGTAGCACAAATGGCATACACGAGAAGCGCCTTCACATTATCAGCCGCTACTTCTTTCCCAAAGACAGAGGCGGTGTTGGTTTTGAGGGCGTTCCTATGGTCCGCATACAGCCACCAGAGGACGCCTGTTCCTCCTGCAAAAAGGTTGGGCACCAACTACAGTTTTGTTTTTAAATATAAGCAAGAAACACAGGTAGCAGGTGTCGGCAGTTACCTAGAGTGCCAATGACAACCAGAATAGTGAGAATCCACACCAGCACTTTGGAGATGTAACGGATGACGACCATCATGATCAGGGAAAGAACTGCATCAAACAAAACAATTTCAAGTTCAACTAAAATACTCAGGTGAAATACTGTATGCCTCAAAAGTCACTCCAAATTTGGCGGTCGAACCGTGATGCAAAATGAGAGGTTGCACAGACTCGTCAACTTTACTATTCCACCACTGCGTTTAGAGCGTGACGTCGACTAGCCGCTAATCACATGGTTTTAGCTTGAGGAGGAGGCAGAGCCACTTCTGCCACAGATGAGTGCACTGAATAAAACCAGTCTGTCACCTTCATTGGCTTAAACTGTCTTCTATCTTTGAATCAAACGGCTTTGGGAAGTGAGGTAGAACAAGGGAAGTAGGGAAAAAGAGGATTTCACACAACATTTTGGCCTACACAAACAGGAAGGAGAGCGGTGAATTCCTCCACCACACAAAGGTCCATGAATTTTTGCAAACGTGGCAGATGTCCACCATGCCGAACCCCGCTATTGTGGTGGGCCAAGAACGAGGACGGGTTGGGTGCTCTTTTCCTCATGGTTTCTCTGTGCTTTGCCATGTCTTTTTTAACATAGCTCATCAGGGTATATGTGCGTGTTTTGTGTGCATGTGTGTGTGTGTGTGTGTGTGTGTGTGTGTGTGTGTGCGCGCGCTTCACCTAAGGACAGCACACAAAGTCCCATAATGATGTCCTTGCTGGCCATCACTCCAGCGACGACTCGGCGGAAAACATTGTTGTCACTAATGAATGTGAAAAAGGAGAGGGCCAATTCCGCATAGCAGCTGATGTCCGCTGGTATGCAACGGCGGAACAGTGGCACCGATTTACTGAAAAAAAAAAGGGTGCAATTAAAAATTGGTATAAGCAGCTGATGAAAAGCAAAACATTAAAAGCTTGATTACCTTGCTGGAACAGGGAGCTTGGGACATTTAGTAAATCGATCAGAGTTGCCCGGGTATCTTGCTGGATTGATATCATATGTGCAGAGGGCAGATCCTTTTCAGAGAAAGACATTGTCAAAGTACTGTATTTTTCGGACAATAAAATACACTTTAAATTCTTGACTTTTCTCAAAAATCGACAATGCGCCTTGTAATCCGGTGTGCCTTATTAATGGATGGATGTCGATTGTTCAGGTTCAAATTCCTTCGTGTTACGTTTGTATTGTCATCCACATCTAATCGCGAGCAGTTGTGCATGTTTTCGTCGTACTGCATACTGCAACTAGAAATGCTTCCTGCTTTTGCGTCTAAGAATCGTAAAAGATTCTGTCCTTCGAGCCTAATGCTAGTCAAGAATAGATATGACAAATGCAACCTGAGCATTTCTGACAGCGAGTTTCCAGTGTTATAATGTGGGAACCTGAAGTAAACTCCATAGCCAGCGACCAAAGGCTGCCGGGACGAGACGGTGGATAATGTTGAGTACAAGGACTTGTTTACAGTAATTCAACTGTCCACCGATATAGCATTTAGCATTAGCCAAACAACCCGTCCCAAAACTGACTTGTGATATTCAAACTTTTTTTTCGTCTGTCAAAGGATCCATTCCTCTTCTCAAGGTAACCCCAAAAGCAACAGAGACATTCGGCGCTACTCATATTTCGTGTCCGTTCTGAATCTATCAAATAAACGTAGGGTACAATTAGAATGAATAATCCATTTAACAATCGGGGCGTCGTGGTGTTCGACTATAGCACGTCGGCCTCACAGTGCAGAGGTACAGGTTTCGATTTTGCCTCTGGCATTACTGTGTGGAGTTTGCATGTTCTCCCTGTGCCTGCGTGGGTTTTCTCTGGGTAATCTGGTTTCCTCCCACATGGCAAAAACATGCGTGGCAGGTTGATGGAACACTCCAAATTGTCCCTAGGTGTAATTGTGAGCGTGAATGGTTATTCGGCTATGTGAGCCCTGCGATTGGCTGACAACCAGTATTGTGTTTCCCCCACTTCCTGCCCCAAGACAGCTGGGATAGGCACCAGCACGCCCGCGACCTCCGTGAGGATAAGCGGATCAGATAATGGATAATATTTAACATACAATGCTTCACAAATATGATATGCTTTATTACCCGGTCCCTCTTATGTATGAAAATGTTTTAAAATAGACCTGTTCACTGATATTGCGGCAAATAAAAAGCGGTGCCTAATAGTCCGTAAAGTACGGTAATTAGAAAAGTATTTCCGAAGAGAGAGCTCGAGAGAGAGCGAAAGCGAGAGAGGATCACAGCAGGGATAATGACGCAGTGTACTATAATTGAATGGTCAATAATCGGTTAGCGGTATTGAGGTGTTACAAAATCATTTGTATGAATTGACGTTGTAGTCATTGAAGTGTTGTCGTTTTTAGCTGCACTTCAAGTACAAACTTAACCAACACAACTTGTTTCATTTCTCACCATTAGTCAGTGCAAACTGCTTTAAATCGAAATAGGTCTTCAGTTCAGTCGCAGGACATTTGGAGACACACAAAGCAACGCTCTTCATCTTCCTGTTTATGACGTCAATGTTGCACGGGTCCAGAAAGAATACATACCTGACAGACACACAAATAGAAAATGTCAATGAGCTGCTCCCTCACCTAGTTTTTAGGTGGAGTTTAGTTGTGTTTTTTTTTTAATACTGCATAAACACACAGTTGCCTTATATTAAAACCGAAGTCCAGTGGGGCATTAGAATGCAAGTCAGGAGTTCTAGTGAGGGAAGACCATAAAAAACGGTGACATTTGCCGCCCCCCCGCTGCACAGTTGTCTCATTGTACCAGAAAAGGCTTGATGGAAAAAAATCAAGCACCAATAAAGCATGCGCCATTGTTTTGGTAACACTGGACATGTAGGCTGAATGCTGCTGTACCTTACCATTCAGCAGAAGACATCTACCACATCACTAAACACATTTCTGAGAATGTATAAAAACATGTGATTTGTATTTTTAATCTCATTTTCCCTTTCATTCAGATATGTGAAGAATGTTAACAAGAACATACAAGTGCATGTACATGATGTCCCGAGGGCTGCTTTACAATTAGAAATGGTTCGACAATGTCTATTTCCTCAGTTCATAGTTGGATTTCATGCTTCAGTAAGCACACAGTATTGTTTTTAAGTTTTAACAGACTCCAGCTTATTTCTTTTACATAATAAGCATGACCATTGAGAACGTTAAAAGATGTCATTGGCTTCAGCGAAACTTGCTACTTTCACTATGTGTTAGCCATCTATGTCAAGACTGTGTCCTCACCACCCTGCATTTTCGTGCGTGTGCATCGTCACGGATTAATTGTTTTGGTTTCTCCATCACTACTCGTTCGAATGCACTAACTACAAGCTACTCCACTGGACAGAACATCGCCCATGCATCCCTCCCCCTTGTCTTCTTCTACTTATTCTGCAGCATGATCATGACTGATCCCTGAACACACGCTGCCACTTGCTGGACAGATTTTAAATGATTTACAATGCCGACGAGCCTGATCTTTAGTCAGCGGCTGTGTCAGACCCTTCTGCAGACTATGGCGCAAAAAAAAAAAAAAAAAAAGGGGTGGGGAGGTTAGCCAAACAACCCGTCCCAAAACTGACTTGTGATATTCAAACTTTTTTTTCGTCTGTCAAAGGATCCATTCCTCTTCTCAAGGTAACCCCAAAAGCAACAGAGACATTCGGCGCTACTCATATTTCGTGTCCGTTCTGAATCTATCAAATAAACGTAGGGTACAATTAGAATGAATAATCCATTTAACAATCGGGGCGTCGTGGTGTTCGACTATAGCACGTCGGCCTCACAGTGCAGAGGTACAGGTTTCGATTTTGCCTCTGGCATTACTGTGTGGAGTTTGCATGTTCTCCCTGTGCCTGCGTGGGTTTTCTCTGGGTAATCTGGTTTCCTCCCACATGGCAAAAACATGCGTGGCAGGTTGATGGAACACTCCAAATTGTCCCTAGGTGTAATTGTGAGCGTGAATGGTTATTCGGCTATGTGAGCCCTGCGATTGGCTGACAACCAGTATTGTGTTTCCCCCACTTCCTGCCCCAAGACAGCTGGGATAGGCACCAGCACGCCCGCGACCTCCGTGAGGATAAGCGGATCAGATAATGGATAATATTTAACATACAATGCTTCACAAATATGATATGCTTTATTACCCGGTCCCTCTTATGTATGAAAATGTTTTAAAATAGACCTGTTCACTGATATTGCGGCAAATAAAAAGCGGTGCCTAATAGTCCGTAAAGTACGGTAATTAGAAAAGTATTTCCGAAGAGAGAGCTCGAGAGAGAGCGAAAGCGAGAGAGGATCACAGCAGGGATAATGACGCAGTGTACTATAATTGAATGGTCAATAATCGGTTAGCGGTATTGAGGTGTTACAAAATCATTTGTATGAATTGACGTTGTAGTCATTGAAGTGTTGTCGTTTTTAGCTGCACTTCAAGTACAAACTTAACCAACACAACTTGTTTCATTTCTCACCATTAGTCAGTGCAAACTGCTTTAAATCGAAATAGGTCTTCAGTTCAGTCGCAGGACATTTGGAGACACACAAAGCAACGCTCTTCATCTTCCTGTTTATGACGTCAATGTTGCACGGGTCCAGAAAGAATACATACCTGACAGACACACAAATAGAAAATGTCAATGAGCTGCTCCCTCACCTAGTTTTTAGGTGGAGTTTAGTTTTGTTTTTTTTTTAATACTGCATAAACACACAGTTGCCTTATATTAAAACCGAAGTCCAGTGGGGCATTAGAATGCAAGTCAGGAGTTCTAGTGAGGGAAGACCATAAAAAACGGTGACATTTGCCGCCCCCCCGCTGCACAGTTGTCTCATTGTACCAGAAAAGGCTTGATGGAAAAAAATCAAGCACCAATAAAGCATGCGCCATTGTTTTGGTAACACTGGACATGTAGGCTGAATGCTGCTGTACCTTACCATTCAGCAGAAGACATCTACCACATCACTAAACACATTTCTGAGAATGTATAAAAACATGTGATTTGTATTTTTAATCTCATTTTCCCTTTCATTCAGATATGTGAAGAATGTTAACAAGAACATACAAGTGCATGTACATGATGTCCCGAGGGCTGCTTTACAATTAGAAATGGTTCGACAATGTCTATTTCCTCAGTTCATAGTTGGATTTCATGCTTCAGTAAGCACACAGTATTGTTTTTAAGTTTTAACAGACTCCAGCTTATTTCTTTTACATAATAAGCATGACCATTGAGAACGTTAAAAGATGTCATTGGCTTCAGCGAAACTTGCTACTTTCACTATGTGTTAGCCATCTATGTCAAGACTGTGTCCTCACCACCCTGCATTTTCGTGCGTGTGCATCGTCACGGATTAATTGTTTTGGTTTCTCCATCACTACTCGTTCGAATGCACTAACTACAAGCTACTCCACTGGACAGAACATCGCCCATGCATCCCTCCCCCTTGTCTTCTTCTACTTATTCTGCAGCATGATCATGACTGATCCCTGAACACACGCTGCCACTTGCTGGACAGATTTTAAATGATTTACAATGCCGACGAGCCTGATCTTTAGTCAGCGGCTGTGTCAGACCCTTCTGCAGACTATGGCGCAAAAAAAAAAAAAAAGAAAGGAGTAGCGAGCCGTAGCAGATTTTCAATACGTATTTACACGTCATGGGGATTGAATGAGTTAAGCAGTAACATTCATTTCTACCCTTGAAAAGCAATTAGCAAAAACAAAAAATTTGGTTCCGTTTTCCATGTTTTGTGGGAAAAAAAAATTAATGACAATGCCATTATTTGTTGTGTTGTGTTAAAATACTGATAATCTGCAAGTTGGGCTTGAAAATGATGGTCGTGAGATGGCTGTTGTGTAGCGTCAGTCACCCACTTATTTTCAAGCATGTTCCGGCCGCTGAGCTCAACGTCCTGGATCTTGCTGTTGTTGTGACCACATACATTGCCATAGCTGTCGTATCCTGAAATAAGTCGTGAGGCAGCTCCTGTGGCGATGGTGAAGCCACATATACAAACCTGCATGAAGCACAGAACAATGGAACGTTAATAAATAGTTAAATAATTTTTTTCTTCCCAAATCCTATTTGTGCCTGCACGACAATTTGGATGATGACAAATGTGCATCAAGTTGATTCGAAAGCTCCAATTAGGATTTAGTCATTTGCTTTGAGACCACTGAAATTATTTGGCACAGACCTTATAATTACATTGCCTTCCTTGGTTGTCCTCTCATATTCACTCAGTCTTTACCGTTACTACTGTGGCATACTGCTCAACGAAACAGTCAAAAAGTACAAGTACAAGTTAAAAACAAACAAATAAGATGGCAATTACAAAAAGACTAAGACTTTAATTTGAACACAACAATATGACCGTATGAAGTATAGCCACGAGGTGAGCATAATTTTTAAGCATCCAGTCTCAAGCAGACATCTCTTGAGTTTCCTCTTGTCTTTGGCTTTAACGTTAAGCTGAATTGCAGTGAGGTGACCTGCATGTTTCATGAGGACACAGGATAGAAACACTTCCAAGTTCTCACAAAACATCTACCGAGCAAGCATTCAATGGCACACATACCATTCCAATGCAGAAGAGTGTGAAGATGATGAGCCATGGAATGTCCGTGCAACTGCGCTCCTTCAGCGGGCTCCAGTCACGTTTACTCTGCCAAGACATGAACAGACAGAAACTTCTGATCGACTATTTTAGTTTGGAGAGAGCTGGGCAGAGCCAAGCCCAAACGGTTGTTTGCGAGTCCCCGAAGTTATGGCTGTGCTGGCCAAACAAGCCCCCTTTGTCTGAAAAGTGACGTGAATTGTTATACACGCACAACATCAGACGTGCACCACTGTTCGGATGGCGCTGAGATGGTTCACATTGTCGATTTTCTTTCAATTTTAAGCACACCTACCTCCGTGCTGCTACAACATCCCATTGTAGACGAGAAAGAGACAACTGTAGCGAGTCAAAAAAGACAACTTTCAGCGGGCTTTCTTTGACTAAAGTTTAGTTGTTTCGCAGCTCATTTCTTCCTAGCCCTACATCCGATAAAAATGTAGCGTTATGTATTCAGCAAAGGACGCCATTTTTCGCTAACTTCCCTCAGGTAAACGCGGAAGACAACAAAATAACTCATGGTGCCTTCATTGTTATCGGAAATATTAATACTACTAACACGAAATTACCCAGACGCCCACATTGGGTAATGTTGTCACTGATGTCTTATTTTTAAATGATAAATTACCATTTTATCGCATCATTCTGTGTTTTATTCGTGAAACATTTGTCTAGAGTGTGACAGAAAGCTCGGCTTTTGTATTTATCTAATTTCCGAGTGTTACGGAACGCAGCAAATACTTTTTTTTTCTTTTTTTTTCCAAAACTGTGGCGCGCAGCAGTCGGAGCCGTTTGCTGGTGTGGTGGGACGAGGGAACAATGAAATGGGATGATAATTGTCTGGCTTTGCATCAAATGTCTCTCGTAAAACAGCTAGGTTTCAAATGCAATTTAAAACAAGTGAAAATGTTCTCCCAGTGGCTGCCAGTAGGCTGCTTCAAAGAAAACGGAACATAGGGGGCCACACCCAAACTAGTTTTTGTCGGTATCAGAAGTGGGGAGAAGAGCCAAAAGTGTACTCATGTTGCATTTGAATCACAAGACTGAAGTATTAAATAAAACACTAGTCTTCCAAATAATTACTGTGTGGGAAAAAGCTACTCCAGTACGGAGTAATTGGTGAGTAACTTGATTTTTTTTTTTTTTTTTTTATCAGCATGAAGTTCAAACAGACGTAAGTGTAAAATAATAAATAAAATATTTGTGGAAAACAACATCAATTAAGACATTGAAAACCGAAATGTGTTTTCCTAAATTCGACTGCAGTTCTTAGAATGGCTATTTAGGTTTTTATGCAGGCACAGATCTTTTTAAGTTGTAACATGAAAACAGATTGAATGTGAGGACAGGGGTGTTCTGGCTCTTCTGAATGCAGGTCACATGGAATTCTTTCATCCGATGTTTGTTTCTGCCATGCTTCACATACACATACATTAGTCACTTTAAAAATGTAGCCTTTGTGCACTGTTATTGAATGCCTGTTTCCTTTTGGTTGGTGAAATGGAGTCAAATATCGCTTGTAGACACCCTGGATTGGTGAAACAAAGTCAAGTGACGGCACTTGAGGCAAGTGTCTCTGACGAACTAAAACAAATAAACCGCACAAACTATAATAAATGCCAATAACGTATGTATGCAAAGTAATATATGGAAGCCGGTGTAACACAGTTAAAGAAGAGTGTCTAAAAAAATATACTCAAGTCAAAGCAAAATTTTAAAAAAATATGTTGGATTTAAACCAGTCTGACGTGTACAATTTATCCAGAAAGTTACTTAAGTAAATGTAACACAATAACAAACAAACACAGGTGCTCATCAGTGGCCTCAAGCTGTTAGTCTCTCAGGCTAGAATGGAAAACTCAAGGTGAAATAACTTCAGACAGTTTCAGTTTCA